GTCATTAAACCTCCAAATGTCAGCTGGTGGGATTAGCCTGCAGACTTCCACACCTGAGCCCTATGGCAGGGACACAGGCATTTTGATCACCATCACTAATGAATACAGAATTCATATGCAGCTTGTCATTGCTCTTGAGCCTCAAATCACACAGATGCAGGCTAAATAAGACTGATGAGACAACTATTGTTGAAGATTAGAGAGTTTTGACAGTTTCCCAAAATAGCTCACTATTATTGTCTGTAGTTAATAAACAAAAATACTACCACCATATTGAGGGACAGTAGGAAAGAGGAGCACAGAAAGATTTGAATCATCTCTATGTCAGCTGTTGGAAAATGGAAGAAAGTGACATGTTTTCGTAATATTTTTTACTATGCCTGATGCATTATTTTCCTGAAATAAGAGGTGCACAGTGAAAGCTGCATTAGGAGAACATTCCGCTTCACTCTGCGGATATGGGACTACTCAAAAATACCTCAAAAACCAGTGACAAAACCAGAAACAAAACTGTGCACCCAAAGAGCCCAAGTCTACAAATTTTGCAGCTTCAGTGCTTGTACAATTTCTTTGTGAGAACACCTACATCTATTAAGTGGAAAAGGCTCCAACTCCTCCTGCCTGCCCCTCGTCCCTCCTTTTGCAGAGGATTACCCACACCTGCCAGCTGAATTGCTGTAGGACTGCTCCTTAACCCATGTTTGGCAGAACCAGCTGAGTTAACAAAAGTAACCACACTGCAGGACCATCACAAAAGCAAACCTGGCCAGCAGCTGAAGGAGTGACCATCGCTGGCAGCAGAACAAGATGCCACTTTACAGACAACACAGTTTGTGCCTATGCTCCAGGTGGAATACAGTCAGAACAGCCGCCTTTTACTTTTAATCTGTTCTTACCCCTCCAGAATATTTCCATTTTCAGTACCATGAGATTTCCTGCCACACTTAAAAAACTGAATAAGAAACAACTGTAAATATAATCTCACTTTTTTGGGGTGATGTCTAGAAAGAATTATTAAATATCTGCATACTTGCCCTGTTTCCCTTCCCCCCCCACCTATTCCATGCCCCTAAACTCATCACACAAAGATTTACCCCATTCTCCCTGCAACAATTCCACTTTGTGGTTTCTACTGATTCTCTTCAGTTTGAATCCTCTGATGAAATACAGAAATGAAGTTACAAGCAGCCTGTTTCCTTGCCTAAGCAGAAAGCTCTTGTCAGAAAGCTCCAACATAGCCTTGCTGTACATCAAGTAATTCTTCTATGGACAAAATGCTTCTACTTTTCAAACAACTTAAGTCAAATACCACAATAAACAACATAATAACCTCAATCTACCCAGGAATTCACCACCCACAGTACAGATGAACCCAGAACTCCAGCATTTAACACATTTAACTTTTTCCCCAGATCATGATGGTTTCCATACCCACCTTCTTCACTACTGTTTAACACCAGAAGGCACTAATGCATTCACAAAATCCGACTCTAAGGTTTAAGAACCATGTGGCTACTCTATCGAAATGCAACTGAAAGAAAAATTGGCTGCAATGAAAGATCTAAGCTCAAAACACTCTATTAGATGTGCTGTTCTTCCACTTACGTTTTTTAAAGTAGATCTATAGCTGCTCACATGACAGATTAATATTGTTCCACAGTAGTTAGGTGCTTGGCATTACATTTCTGAAGCATCTACAGGCCTTCAGGGCTGAAAGTGTTCACATCTTCAGCAATCTATAATGGTTCCTCTAGAGGCCAGCACTTGCTTCACAATGAAACATGCCTCCATAAATCAGACTACAGAAGTGGCACTTGTGTACGTCACCATCTATCTTAGCAGTTCCTCTGAAGGATGTTGGGTAAAGATCATCTCCCAGCATTGCAACCAGGGAAAGGACCATCACAGTTGGCATTGATAAAGCATGTGCTACTTAAATCTGAAGACGCACTAAGTCTATGGAAAAAAAAATACATCCTGCTGGTGTTAGCACGCCTCAGGCAGTGGTAGAAGCTTCAGCAACTCATCTTCAAAAGGCAGAGAGCCAGGGCTCTAGAAACCTGCAAAAATTGGCTAAGCCTGCAGTCTTTTTTTTATTTCTTTATTTTTTTTTAGGTTTTATTTTTTTCCGAGTTGAGCATCTTCAAAGTCTACGATTCTAACTGTAGGGCACAGCAGCTGCCACTGCAGATTTGATCCTCGCCGCTTTTGGCAGCTCTCAACTTGAAATTCTAGCAAAAGAATTTTTCAAGTTGCTATTATTGCCTGTCATGGATTTATAAATATTGTGCACTATCTGCTGTGGCATGGCTCTCCTGGGACACCAGTGCATGCCAAAAGCATAACAGAATGAAAAACAGCCCCTATTCTTCAAATAAATGCTAATTTTTTTTAACTGTGCTCACACAATGCGTTTGGTGATCAGCTTCAATAGTACAGAATATATATCAGAGGCAAAAAAGCCGATTGTCTTTTCCAGTAGTATTCAGCTGCTACTTTCATTAAGCTTGTTTAATTACATTCCAGATGCTAATTTGCAAGTTGATACCAGAGGGTGCAGGACAGTTTGCCTTTGAATCATTTTTCTGTGATGTGATGGTCTTGAAGCACACCACTACCCTCCAGTAGCCCTAGCAAGATATTCTGACAATTAGTGCAAGAGAAAGCAGCATTGATCTTGACAGAAAAATATTAATCCTCTACCTATTTTATTAAATTAATCTCCTGGAATTTTAAGTTTACCACCATTGCCATTTCATAGCAATATCATGTAAAATATCCATAACATACTTGATATTTCTCTTGTAAATAAAACAAATCTGATTTGTTATTTTGTTCCTTTACTAGGAAGGAAACCAAACCACATCTGACTTAAAAGGTAAATATTTTGGGCTGACAGCCATGACAAATTATAAAGCAGCATTTAAGAGGGCAGTTGAGCACATCACCTGGATCTTTGCTTGTTTAGTCATGATTAAATTAATAGTTTATTATTAACAATATTCTCTTATTGACAGAATATCTGGCAAAAACAAAGGAAGGGTTAAGGTGCACCCAAGCCTCAAAGATCTAAATATCTATTTCAACAAATTGGTAGGCTGTATCTCTACATGCTTGTTATACCAGTGAATATCTGCTGCCATTTATGGTTGTGTATGAAGACAATTTAATTAGGATGACCTTTCAAATAGAAAAAGTTGGAGATTTACCAATTTTTGGTGCCTTTTTCTGGTTGCTCTTACACAAAGAATGACTTAGAATACAAGTTTGAAAACTAGCTGAGAATAGATGAAATTTTTAGTTTCGTAGCACAGCCCTGACATTTATAGCTCTGAGAGCAGACTATTATGCTGGAGCTGTTGATTCCAAGGATTTGTAGTTCATGTTTTCGGTATGAATAGCACACATGCCAAGTGCATGGTCACACAAGGGGCTGGAAAAAGAAACTGTCATTCTTAAGAGAGGCATAAGGGGAGAAGGAAAAACCTCTATCTAGTGGTTCTTTATCAGTCATCCAGTGTGATGCCACTGAGAGAAGAAACCTGAGTGCCTATTAAAAATATTCCAATATTTCTGATAACATTTATAAATACACCAGAGCCCTGAAGTCCAGTCCCAAACCACTGCAGCAACACAGGAATCCTGATCTTACTGCATTTTTGCACAATTATTTCATATCTACAGAAAAGCAGCCAGTTCCAGGAGTAACTGGAAAAGTGCTTATTACAAACTCTTAAGCAGTTTCACTGCTGGAAAACTTCTTGAAACCAGATGGGGGTTTTTTTAAATCAACTGGTATTACACATCACATTTCTTCAGATGTGACAAAGCACGACATCAATTACACCTGAACTTTAAAAAGTGATCAACTTTAGAGGAACTCAGTGGACTTATGGTACCATCACCTGAAAATATAGTGCATTTGAAGGGAAGGAAATGACCCACAGCAATTGCATGACACATATGAGGAACTTCTGAAGACCTTTTCTGAAAGGAATCAACTCAATAGCTGCAAGATTTGTTGTATGTGCATTTCAGGCTGAAATGATTGCAAACAAGTAATTTTTAATGGGTTCAATTTTCAGTTGTGTTGAATTCATTTTTTTCTTTACCATGCAAATATTAATCAACTGGAACAGTAAGTATTCTCAGAAAGCCTAAAGAGCTTAACGTGGTTTAAAAAAGGGCTTGACATTACTGAGGCATTTTACAAAACACAGTTACAGAAAACCCTTTAATTGTTTTATTTTCATCAATAGTCTGTCTGCAGACAACTGGATTTTTCACTCCTTAGTTAACAGGCACTGAACATGGTATAACTAAGTGTAAGGAAATACTATAGATGCTAATGTGCTGCATACACACATAACTGAGGAGCTTATTCTGATCTCAATCAGAGCACTCCAGCTTTTAGCTCCCTGAATGATTCTCTACAATGAGCAACCAAACACTTTTTCAATTTTTAATCAAGATTATCAGCAAAACACAAACAAGCCACGACCTTGTAAATCTTCTGATAATCATCTTTTAAGTAGATAATAATGCAAGTACATTGACTAGTTCTGAACATACCCCATCAAGCAGAAATCTAACTAGTTTCATATACTAGTGCATTTCTTGTTGATTTTACAATCCTGTGTTCTCTTTTCAAGATTCAAAGAGGAGGGGGTCTGACTACTGATGGCAAGACAGCAATATTGCCAATGCAAGTGCTGTTAAATTCCTGGTCAACTCTAATCAGCAAATGGTATGGTTTTAAAGCTTTCACCTACATTCAAATCAGACGAGCTTTTCCATACACAAACACACAACCAGCTGTGTTCCTTTAAACTTCATTTTACCCATCATTTTTTACAGCTTTGCAGTAAGCTGACATTGGTACATTTGAAGCGCAGGGAAATCAGAGCAGATTTAACTTTATTTAAAGCTTCAAACCTCTTCTTATGATCATGAGGACTGTTGAGAGAAGAAAACTGAGGTTTTAAAAGAAAAATTCTTACCTCCATGTCCGGTTTGTATTTATCTTCAAACACTGCCATAGCTGCCAGCGACCCAGAACCTATGGCAACACAATTAGGACACTACTTTAGCCAGTGTATTTCAATACAGTATTTTCTTAAGAAAGAGATAAACATCAGCAGTACAAACCACACTGAAGTCTACCTTACTATACACTCTCTTCTAGCCACCAAGTCCAGAACCTAATTTAATCCTAAATTCGTAGCTAGGGCACACAGACCTGTGTCCATCCTGACAGTATCTTTTTACTGTTTTGAACACTAAGATAGAAAAATGAGGTAGAAAAAGAGTTAACCAAATGCTACCATTTGTAATTGCTACTCCTCCATTTCTCCTGCCCCACTTTTGTGCCTGGCCACATTAGAGGGTATGTCACTTAATACTAAAGACACTCAGAATGAATAGATTGCTTTAACAAGCTGCCCTGGCAGAGTCACCTTTACACATGGGGATGAGTAAAACACCCGTGGTAATAGGGTAGTGGCTGCTGCCATGAGGTTATTTCCTTTACCTTCTTTTAAACAGTTTATTATGCATTTACTTTATGCCATTATTTTTACACTGAACAGCAACAGCTGAACAGACAAGATGACAGATATGAAAACACGAGTTTAACATTACTTCTCTTAAAGGATGCAGTGCAAGTGTAGCAATAGAACAGAAGCCATCTCTACCCAAAGCACTGTAAATACAGGTGTTATAAATATGCTTTCTGTAAATTAATACAAAAAGCAGTATGATACCATCTGAAACTGTAAGCTTGCTTTGTGCAGAAAGAGTGAGTCTTTAGGAAGGTATCTTGTCTGTCTTGGCCCTAACCGTATTTCAGACAGCACTACTTTTGGGGAGTGAATAAAGTTACCTGCAATTTTTTACTCCAATTAGAAGATTTTTTGGCATTTATTACTTTTTAACTTGTTTTGCATACTGCTATCTGTTTAGCTGGGTCACAGAGAAAGCCATATCTTCTATTTAAAATGATTTGTGTATATCACTTGACCACCTCAATGGTTTAGTGAAAGAAAAAGGCAGCGATTAAACAGTTTCAAATGAGGTGTCCTGCTGATTTTATCAAGTCTGCTGAATGTATAATGAAAAAGGAGAAGCTGACAGTGACACTGTTGAGAAAATACAGACTACCTTATCTGAACCATTTAAGGAGGTCCAATTATAGATCAAATTTAAAGGGTAGAAACAGCAGATTTACAGACACAAATCAATGAACATGGTAATCCCAATGAATATGACAGATACTCCTGTTACAGAATATTGCTGTGGTTGAGGATCATTACCTTTACAGTACCAAATACATCACATCTAAAAGCAGTAGGACACTCTAAGTGTGTACTTGTATTACAGGCAATGACTATTCATTTGCACCTTGGAGCAATATACAACTCCATTTTTTTTTTTAAATGCTGAAACTGGGAATAAAGAAGATTTTTAAGCAACTAATAGCAGAAATGAACTGCTGATACAAACAGCTGATACCACAGAACAAACCACAAATCAAAGGAATTTTACTGATCCTTCAAACAAGGTCACAAGAAGGCGTGTTCCAAAACAAATACAGGATTTTAACCATAAAATAATGCTTCTTGTGGGATGACATAAAAGATTTCTAATGAGAGAAAAAAAGGAGATATGGTCTCAAACTAAGACCACATTCCGACTACACTCAAATGAAGGCCTACCATAAGCAGAATGGGAAGCCTCAAAACAAGGAAACAATCACCCTTAGATAAGGGTTCCTTGAAACAATTAGAGAGTATAAAGACTAAAAAATTTGCAGGAATTAAAGTCTAAAATGTAGCATCTGACAAATTACTACATTAGCTACTGAGCCAAGAATATATGGTCTTAATTTCTTACAACTTCTACTGACAAATAAAAATCAGCACTAACAAATATTGCAATAATCCCATTCATGGCTCAAACTGGGTTCATCCCTCCAGCTCCTTTTTAAAAGAAGTGCCCAAAAGAACCTATGGGCCAGAACTCAGCAGACTTACAAAGAAGAAAAAGGAAGAAGGGGGGGGAACACACCTTATGCCACATTACTTTAAATCCTTTATACACAAATAATTATACTTCTAATTATTTACCTCACTATATTAACAAGACACAAATGCCAAATCTAGTATTAATTTGAAACACATAAATGCCAATAGTCCCATAATGTAGTTTTCTAAGAGCTGTTGAAAGTCTTAATTTTATTAAACCTGCATGTAGACATTTACATCTGCAAACCAAGATGCCACAGAGGGTCTAACAGAACAGGAAATAAAGCTGGAAAAGCCGAATAAACTTCTTCAGGTCTTTTCTCTGTTTGTAAATTTTAAACATAAGCTTTATGAGTACTTTTACTAAGTACCTTAGTAAAAGTCTCACAGCACAGCTGAGCATTCTCTGCAAGAACACATTTCTGGAATCTTAAATAGCACAATGAAAATCCTTTATTCTTACTAGCACCAGATGTAAACAGCATGTTTTACAAACACAAATAGATGCATGCTTCAGAGTTTCTCCATCAAAACAAATCTGCTGTTTGACAACATGAATAGGAACTGATTTGAAAAACACTAGTGATATGCATTCACTTGTAGCACGTTAATTAATAAAACCCCTTTATGCCCCTATTTGCACTGCTGGTGGGCTGCAACCCCCTCACTTGACCATCCACAGAGATGCAGGAAACCAGCAGTGGACAGTTGCTCATGAGTTGCAAACTTCACTATCCAATTACACCAACTTCCCTCTACTTGTCAAATTCCACATATGATCCAAACAACCCCACAATGTTCCAAGTAGTTCAACTGACTTGTGAAAGCTATGCATTGTAACAGGAGAACTGGCAATAAAAGCTGTGAACTTAAGTAAACATTGCAAGTGTGGTTTTCTTATTGCAGTACCTATAAAAGCACAGAAAACTTAGATATTAAGGGTCTACTGAGAACTTGTTTGCATGTGGAGAAACAGCTGTTCTCTTGTCCATGTATTCAGTGCCCACCAATAACTCATTTTTAACAAGCATGCTTTGCCTGTATGTAGAAACAAGCTTAACAATTCCCAAACATAATGTCTGGAGAAAGATAAAATCAAACATTGCAAAACACCATCCATTAATTAGGGATCAATGTTTCCACCTCATACACAAGAACTGATTTAAGTCACTACAAGCTAGGATTCAACATTGCTAAGATGCAGCAGTTCAACCTCAAATCAATAGAGATAATTAAACTAAGTATAATTGGTCATCATGTATTTTTGTTATACAACATGGAGGGGGGGGAAACCCTTTCAGCTAGATTTCTAAAACCACTAACTACTATGAATGGTTACACTTCAACAGCCTTGGAAACACAGTCATCAAGAAAAAAATGCCATAACAATTCCAAAGAATCATTTTTCCACGTATTTTCTGTAAGCTTTAGAAACAAATACTCAAAAAGCCTCTAAATAGAAAAAAAAAATACATTGAGTGCCAAACAAATTATAACAAAGTACAGAAACCAAGATGCAAAGCTGTGTTTTGAGGCAAACACTTTTCAGCCTGATAATCAGCATGAACCAGGTAAATTATGAGACCAAGAGATTTCTTTTTCTCCTTAAGAAATATTGGTCATTTCATAAGTTTTCACAAGCAAGTTACTAAAAATTTTCTGCTCTCAACTATAATAAACTCATTTTTAAAATCCCACCTCTCTCCTTGAGCAGTTGTGCCACTTCAGTATTGATTTAAAGCAAAAGATAATTATTGATACATAGCAAAAAAAACCCAACCAACAGTAATTTCCATTGTGTTTTGCAACTGCAGTAGCTTTGCTAAAACAGATGAAGTGGATCTTTTTAGCAGAATGTTCACTGAAGACAACTTCTTATTGCTAAGCACAGTCCATTTTCATCACCCAAGGACCTGTTTGGTACCTCAGCCTGCCACACTGGAGGACGCACAGAGCCTTCAGAGAGCAACATTTAGCACTTCCTAATCCATCACTGTCAGGGCTTCCTGACAGGGCATTTATTCACATGCACTCATTGTTATTCAATTTGCTGCTCATTCTAGGTAAAAATTCAGTGATCTCCACAGCCCCATCGATTGGGGTCATTTTTCACCCTGGTTCCTGGCTGAGAGGGCTGTGTCTCAGCAGTGGTAGTGCTTGCTCTGCAGGACGACATTGCCAATGCATGAAGAGCTGATTTATGAATATGAAGCAACACTGGTACCAGGGGACTAGCTTTAGCCACTAGAGACTACTGGAACATACTTACTGTTTCCAAAAGCTGAACTACAGACTTCAAGTGCTTTAATTTTATGCATGCATTTCATTATAAGTCTTGGCCAGAAGCTTTCCTAGACAAGCCAAGCAATGAGACAATCTTGCATCGTTTGCTGAAATCCAATTTTGTCCTTTGTCAGCATAAACAGTTTAATTTGATGTTTTCACTCCTGAGTAAGCACTGAGTATCTTTTAAATCTCCCTTGCAAGAGAGGACACCACTCCATCCATACACAAACACACTCCAGCACATTAAAAACAAACAAAAAGCCAACACCGCAACCATCTTTCCTATTTAATACTGAATTTCCAAAAATTAACTAGCCAAAAAATACATAATTTAATAAACTGCTCTTAGAAAACTTCAAAAAAATTAACAATAGATTAATCTTAATAAGATCAAAATACAATTTCAACTACTATCTCTGATTTGACCTTTGATACTTTCTCTGCTTTCTTAGTTCTATGGTTCATTTACATGCACAAGCTAATCTTTTTACTAAAATATACCCTAGTCAGTGGGGAAAGTATCAAGTTACTAGGTGTAGAAAGGTAAAGAACATTTACACTGAGAAGGGCTTTGTTTGACAGCACAGCCAAAAGTGACATGTAATCACCAGACACAGACCTGGTACAGCTGACAGCAAATCAAAGTTTAAGCTACAATGAACATAATCCATTGATATTCTACTTCCTACTTGTTTGCACTTATTTTGCTACTATGTTATTTTTGTGGAGGGAAAGAGGATTTTCAGAAACACCACATTTTAAAGCTTTTAAAATACAGGCACATACGTAACCACATACATAACAGAGACTGCAACTTTAGTCAGTCAATCCATCACCTACCAACAGGTATCAGTATAAAGTCAGTTATACTTTTAGTTTACTACAACATTGGGCATAAGGCAGTTATAAAACCAGGCATTTACTTTTTTTATGTATCAAAGGCTAAACAATGACATCACATGACTGTTCCTTGGATTTTATTTGCCAAGTAACTTACTTCCCAATTCCCGAGGCACTGGCACCATCTATTGGTCCAGAACCACCTCTGCAGGATTTGTATGATTTAATCACAGTTCTCATGCCAGAGTTAAACCAGATGATTCAGTTTAAACAGCTGCACTGTTTCAACAGCGCAAAGATCCAAAAGAAAAACCTTTAACATTTCCAAGGATATAATGTGTGTTTCATCTAAAGATGCCAACTATGAACCACTCAAAAAAATAAAGTTCTGTTTTCCCATCACGGAGACAAAATAAAAGCGGCATCAAACACAGACTGAATACGACTTCATTTTCAGATCAATTTGCTTTTCACATGTATTTATTTGGACTCTACATTACACTTCCATAGCATTCCTAAAACCAAGCTCTCTTTCAAAATCATCCAAGTCTTCAAACTGAAACTCAAGGCTGAAATGGTATCTTCTCGAGTGATCAGAGAGCAACCCTGACTGATTGCAATGTTTGGAGTTTTACTTTTTTCAGATACATGATAGCCTGAATAGGGCATTAACCTTAAACACCACACATGAAACTGCACAAGAGTATTAGTAGCTCAGAAAGCACTAGTTTTCTCTTACTATTTTTTATTTCCAGATTGACTATGAATCACAGAAAACTTCAGAACCAATCAAGTTGATAGGTTCAACACTTCTATTGAAAACACTCCTTTTGCCAGAGACTGTGCAAATTCTGTAATTTTTCAAGATGTGTGTGCCTTTTCTTTCATGCTCTCCTGCAAATTGCAAAGCTTATTATAGCACATTACTTCAGGATTCTTACCACAGGGAATGTCCAAGCATCCCTCAGCAATTAAGGTAACTAAAGAAACAATTTTATCTAGAGAACACGGCTAAAGACAAGTTAAATTCAGAAATCAGCATTAGAGATTATTGAAGATTTTCTTATTCTGTATTACTGTCTTCCTGGATGTACTTTTAAGAGGCCTAACTGGGTTATTCAGCAAGATCACAGGTACATGGCACACACCCAAAAGCCACTTCACAATTTGAAATTACTGACACTGCAACAGCTGTAGCCATTCATCTCCTCTGTAGAACTGGGAAGCAATGGGAGCACTGTTTCCACTTTTTAAGTGAGAGACAAAATAATCCAGAAAAACTACTTGGGATTAGCATTCTGCTACCAAAAAGTGCTTATTTCCATGTTATCCTATATTCTTGTTTATAGTTGAGAACACACCAAAGAATATATTTAGCAAGTATGTATTTTACAATATATTCTGAGCACTGCTGCTGTAATTGGTATTGACAGGGTAGTACCTAAATGCCCAAAATGGATGCAAAAATCTGTGGCTTCAGCTTTCAATATTACCACAATTTCTAACTCAACACTGAACAAGACATACACAGAACTGCATCTACTACAGCTCAAATCACTGCTACTACAGAAAATGTTACATAAGCAGCAGAGCTGGAGTAATAACACTCCATGACCTGATGGTAGATTACTAATGTTAAGTTGAACCGAGCAGTAGACAGAATTAAACCTCTTTATTGAGAAGCTCTATACAGTAGTTAGACCAATTACTGAGTACCAAGTGTACCAGGTGTTGCTTCATTACGATGAAAAACCTTCTGGAGTAAAATACAGCTGCTTCTTAACAAGAAATACAACAAAGGAGAAAATACTCTCAAAAGGAAAAGCAAATCACATTCTCCTCCCTATTCTCCCCACTAAAACTACAGAAAAACTTCAGGTATACCATAATTCCTCAAGTGAGACTTCATGAGCTGTGAGGGCTATCTGCATATCAAGTTTCTAAGGATGTATTGTTTTACAGCAACATTTTGGGAATCCCACAGTTCTCTTACTTAAAGGTATGCTAGGGAACGCAAACAGCAACTTTCCTAATAGCAGGTTTTTAGCAGCTTAAATGGTGTAACAGCCCAAGTTTTTAAAGTGCTAGAAAAGAAAGAGTAGTGTACCTGCCTTACAAATAAAGGTAAGGCTTTTATGTTTGAGGTCTGTAGAGCTCCCAGTAAACAATGGAATTTAAGTAAAGCCTTAAATAAATCTTTAAATAATAATTTGTTCACTCTTTTTACCAGGTACTTGTGGTACAATATAGAGGAAGTATCACTTACCCATGGTAACGTAAGGCAATTTGTCAGTTGATCCGTGGGGATATATGCTGTACAGGTGAGGGCCTGTGACATCTACTCCACCTAGAACCAGGGCTGCACCAATGTAGCCTTGATACCTGGGAGCAAGGTTTATATGTGAATCAGAAGTCCACAATGAAGCCGTAGTTCCTTAACATGACTGACCAAGGAACAGCAAACCACACACAAACCACGCTTTAACAGCATTATTAATAAAGAAGAAACCCATTTGGTTACCTGAAAAGCATTTGCTTCAGCATTCGGTTAGCTGTGGCAACCCTTGGAAGTCGTCCAGTCGATAGTGAATGCAGCTCCAGATTGGAAGAAATCAGCTGCGTCGTCATATCAGTATCTGCAGCTGTGCCTGCTCCACAACAGCTGAAATGAATGATGAGCAAATTGAGAAAACGTGGGGAGGGCAGGAGAAACAACTCCATGCTTTATCCAACAAATAGAAATTTAATCATGAAAGTAAAGAAACTGAAGTTTTCATACAGCCAGTATTTTCAGGACACAAGATAGCCTGGTTATATGCAAATGAAGTACTAAAAATCTACAACCCTTACTAATAAAGTATATCAATATGAGTTCAAACTTAAACAGGAGTTTAGGTTAGATATAAGGAAGAAGTTCTTTACTGTGAGGGTAGTGAGGCACTGGAATGGGCTGCCTAAGGGAGCTACGAATGCTCCTACCCTGGCGGTGTTCAAGCCCAGGGTGGACAGAGACTTGGGTGACATGGTTTAGTGTGAGGGGTCCTTGCCCATGGCAGGAGGATTGGAACTGGATGATCTTAAGGTCCTTTCCAACCCTAACTATTCTGTGATTTTAAAGTACACCCTAATATTGCTGTTTGCAAAGAATATGGCTAAAAATCCCCAATACTATTACCAATGCCATTACACAACAAAATACTTACTAGATATTAGGGGAAATAAAGTGTATTTTTGAGCAGTTCTTGTCAGCAACAACCATTCCTTCCGTTGCTCTTGTATCTGCTCCCAGGACTATGCCATCCTACAGAAAGAGAGGGTTATGCCTAAAGCTCAAAAGGGAAACTTTCTGGTACCGACAGCCAGCCCAGCTGCAAGGCCTGGAGCAGCCCAGGGTGAGGGGGATGAGGCACAGGAGCCTGTTCTGTACAGACCGGGCATGACTCAGCAGCGCGGAACCTCCACCACCAGCCGGGCCGCGCCAGGCGGCCGCTTCCCACCGAGGGACCGAGCCGCCTCTCCCCGGCCCCACAACCAGCGCACAGCTCGACCCAGCAGCGGAGGGGCGGCCCCTTCCCCGCTGCGGAACACCGGAGGAACGCGCCCGGTGCCCGCCTCACCTTGTAGACGACGCCGGCGATGGTGGTGCCGGTCTTGCGGGCGGCGGGGAGCCGCTGCCCCTTCTGGGAGAGCTCGGCCTCCAAGAGCGAGTTCCTACAACACAGGCGAGAAGTGAGGCCAGGCGCACGGTTTCCCCCCCGGCCGCCGACCCCGCGCCCCGCTGCCGCCCCAACCCAGCCCCGGTAGCCCGGCCCAGCCCCGGCGCCCCGGCTCCCGCCTCACCGAGCGCAGTTATCGAAGCTGAAGCCGCCGCTCGGCGCCTGCAGCACCGACACCGCCGCCATCTTCTCGCCCCCTCAGAGACGGACGGAGCCCGCCGAGCGCTTCCGGGTCAACCGCAGCGAGGCGGAGCCTGGGGCAGGGGCCGGGGCCGGGGTCAGGCCTGTGCGGCCCCCGCCCGCAGGCTGTGAGATGGCGGAGGCGGCAGCGGGCGGTCGGTCGGTACGGGGCCAGGCACCGGGCACCGCTCCGGTTACCGGGGAGGGGCCGTGTTAGGGCTCTGTCGCCCCTTGCGTGTCGCGGGGTGGTCGAGGAGGTGCCGGTGGTCCGTGGGGAGCGGGCTGGTCGGAGCAGGGATGGACGGGAGCTGGCGGGATGCTCGTCCTTGCTCCTTCATTTGACTTCGTTCTGCCGTGCTTAAAGTAGAAGAAATGCTGTGTCGCTGGGGTGTGGGGCTTGTCTGATAGGTTCAGCAAAAAGCTGTGAAGCTTTAAAAGAAAATGAAGATAAAGGGTGAAAATTCCCAAACTTTTATGTTTGTATCTTACAAACAGCCTGTAATAGCATGAGAAAATGGGAACCTGCCTAAAATTTCTGTGCTGTTAATGTAATGGTAATATGGTGGAAGAAAAGAGATAAAAGCCCCTTTTCAAAATTAGAGAAGTCCTGTTGTACATCAAGGAAGTCAATGAAATTAATCCCGTGTTTTCTGGATAAACTACATCTGACCTCTGTTCTAGCTCTTCCTCCAGCTCACTGACCTGTTAAAAGGAATGCCCTAATGTATTGCTCAAGAAAAGAACTTGTTGCAACAGCTCAAGAAAGGATGCATTTTAAAGCAAGGCAGACATGTGCTGTGATTTTTTCAAAGCCTATCACATATCTAATCTGCTTTCAGTATATCTCTGTGTGTATAAATGTATAAATGCCTGAAATTAAAAATCTTGAATAAAAAAATAAAGTAAAATGTTATTTGTTCTGAACATAAAATGCTAATTGTGGGGGCCTCTGTCCTTTAGAACAACACAAGAAGGTAAGTAGCACATCAGCTTCTTTCCTAAAGGGACCTTTCTCTGAGTGTTTTACTGAGTAAAGCACCTGCCTTCTCGAGTTAGTTAATGCTCAGAACATGGCATCATTAGGACAGATGGTGTTGCTGAGAGGAGCAGGCCCATGTTTCATTCCAAGAGGAACCACAGCTCTTGCATCAGAAGCAAGTCAGATGTCTCCTGAACAGTACCCAATTAGCAGGTAGCCTAAAAATGAAGCTGGGGTCCCATTGTCCAGACCAAATCTACACATCCCTTTAATTGTTTCAAAATGAGTGTTCTCTGTCAGTGTGTTACTGAGATGAAAATGTGCAAACTAAAATGGGGTGAATGGACAAAGCTGTTGTGCAAGGTCTGCTTTTGCCTCCAGTGTTCAAGAATGCTTGCCAATGGGAAGGAACAAAAACAGCCATGGGGAAGAAAACCAAGCCCCAACCTCCTTCTTGGTTGTGCCAGTCTTGCAGGAAAAAAAACCATTGTATTCAGACTGGAGAAGCTGCAGAGCCAAGCGTGGCACTAGCCCTTGCCAGTGAATAGGAAAGTCCTGGCCTGAAATAAGAAGGAATCAGCTTATGTTAGGGATCAGGAAGTGAGGGATGGTCTGATTTACAAGCTCTCACTGAGGACACCTTGCAGATGGAGAACTCTGTGACGTGCTGACATTGCTCAAAGTTGCTGTGCCACTGGGGTTGGGGCGAAGGCACCTGATACTCCAAACCTGGAAAAAGAAATGGATGTGCCTGTTTTCCTGAGTGCCCTTTCATTTGTGTTGACTCTCAGAAAGCCGTGTTGCTCTGTCCCATACTGGCCAGGGGCTCCTGGGGGTACATTACTAGGTGGTGGAGTTCCAGGGGTCACTTTCTTGGCACAGGCTACATTGGACAGTGTCCTCTGTGTGGATTCATTGCTGCTGCATCCTGCAGGCTCGGGTGCCTCTTTTGAACTGGAGCACAATATACTGGGAGCATTTGTTCCAGGAGACCATGAAAGACCATTTTAAGATAAGCACACAGAGAACCTGCACTCTGCACACTCTTCTCCCTTTTCTTTCAACACTTGAGCAACTAAAATCCCATTTTCTTGTATACCAGTTAGGCTGGGAAGCTGCCTGAGAGAAAAGAATATCCTGCTGCCAGATGCTCTTTTTTTATTCTAACACAGTTGTTTTTCCCTTCATTTGATAAAGTTAAAATAAACAGTCTCTGGGGTGAATTACAGGCGTCAAAATTGGATTGGCATACAAACTGTAGAGCAGTTGGTGGCTGGGAGTCTGGGGAAAAAGAAACAGCAGGTTTTAGCTAGAGGGGACAACAGCTTTATTTCCCTCTTGGTCCTTGACAACTAAGCAGATGTCCTACAATTATTGTTTTACCTTCTAGTAATATAGTCTCTTTTCCTATGCTCCCAGGTACCAGACTGACTTTTTTGCAGATGTGCAGGTACATCTCTTCCCTAGTTCAAAGCCTTCTTAGTGCATCACTAGCTCCATCTATTGCTGGTTAATGGCCAGCTGAGATTCAGACAGATCTCCCTCTCAGCTTTATAGGATACCTACTTCCAGTGCCATTTACGTAAATAGAACCAGTGATCTTAAGAATAAGATCTTTTATGAATATCTTACGTGGGTTTTTTCACACCCATTGTATTGCAGACTGCTTCTGTGTTGATGCCCTTCACTGAATACACAGTGGTCCCGTTGATTTTTTCTACAGTCCTTCAGAGTCCTCCAGTACAGGTGCCATCAGAACCACTAAACCCTGACAACTACCCTGCATTCCTCTGAACAGATGATGGGGTAATGGGTGGCATCACAAGGCATAACCACTGTCACTGGGTACCCACTGTCACTGAGCTGGAAGAGACAAAATGTCTCTCGGTAAGTCTAAAAGTATTCAGGAGAAAAAACACTGAGGAAAAGAGTGTCAAGTTAAAGTATTTTTTAAGGTTCTGAACTAATACATAAAAGAGTGCTTGCATGGTCTCCTGACAGACAGCAAATGGTCTGTTCAGCAGTTTCTGTATCCTCTGTGAGCATCTAGGGCTACCTTCAGAGCTTACCTTAGCCTGGTTACGATGAACTGTGCTGGAGCTTGAAGATGCAAAGTTCTTTCTTTATTTTTTTAAAGCAGTCCTGAAGTCTGTTTCTAGCCTTAACAAAGCTGCAATCCAGGTTTACCATCCTACAAGACATCTGACAGAGAAGTTGAATAGCACTCCAGACTCATTTCTAAAAACTTACTTGGGATACAAGGAATGTTGGTGTTTTCACAGCAGGTGGGCATTCAATCTGAGGCCTATGTCTTTCCAGTTTGTGTATGTAATGTATAAACTCTCAGGTATTTTAGTGTCTGCATTTATACCCTGCCTGTCTTCCCAGTTTGTATTCAGTGTTTTCTTTGTGCATGAGTGCCAAATGACATTTTAAATTCTTGGACCTTATTTAAAGAGACGTTGGGTAACTTGGAATGTTTAACAAAATCTTTAGTACAGTTTTACCCTACAAAGCTTGCATCTGCTCTTGCAGCATGAAAGACAGCCATGCTGTTTCTTCAGGGTAACAAGTGCAAATTACTTTTTGCTTTCTAGAATAAGGGGGTTGCAAAAAAGTGAAGCCTTTGTGGATGAAGCTTTTGATCCTGTAGATCCAGGACTGGCTTTGTGTAAGAGGTTAGAGTGATGGGCAGAAGGTTTCCATTGTTCCAGCACTCTCTGATGGAACAAGTTGGCACCTCTTTGTTGAAGGTTTTCAAAGGACAGCCAGACAGCCTGACAGCCACAGTCAGCCCAACAGCTGCATGAGACTGAGATGGTCTCAAGTGCTCTGTAGTACTTCAGTGAAGCCTGCAGCACTGCTAGGTAAAAGTCAGCAAGGATCCCAGTAGAGCACTGGTGGGAGTGTGGTGCCCAGTAGCTTGTGGTTATGGGACTGGTGCCTACAACTGCTCAAAATGAAAGGTGACAAATCAGCACAGGCACATGCATGTGAAATAACAGGCAATTAGAGAAATCCAAGAAATGCTTTCTCGTGCCACACTTGTATCTCTGCTGCTTGAATTCCAGATAAATGAGTGGCTGACGGCCCTTACATTCAGTGTCTGTCTGCAGAGGATATACTGGTCCCTGCACCATCCAACCCTGCGTGGGACTGGTTTTCATTAGAGCTGGCCAGAGGCAATGCAAATTGTTCAGAAGCTGAAAGCCCATGCTGCAGTTGTGCCTGGGCCCGAGTTGTGGTTGTGTCTTGTGCGTACTCCAATAAATACTCACTAGTTCCCAAACTAGCCAACAACTCCTGTAATGTCCCAAGGTGAACTTGTGTTAGGAGTGGAGCCAGGCAGAAAGATAATCACTGAACTGGAGAATAAACGCACCATGTGTCTCTCCTGTTCAAAACCACTCTAATTTCAAACATCTCGCCTCAACGACGATCTGTTAGCGAGCTGCAGGCCAAGAATCTGTCAGAAGAATTTAAATACAATTCTGACAAGATCAGAACTAGATAGACTAAAACTTCACCAACCTGTGGGTAAAACAAAGCTAATCGAGTAAGTGCTTGCCTGGGTCAGGACAGAAGGTGATCCCTCAGGGATCGTATTTGTTGTGCAACTGTATCTTCCAAAAGCAGGGGATTTATCTGAGGTGTGGAAACTCTATAATGAAATGGAGAGTTGAGTCCAAGAGGGTGTCTTCATTACTTTGAAAACTGAAAGAAGAGGTTAAACTGGGAGCAGACAAGTGGTGCAGTCAATGGGGCCGTGCACTGAAATGTGAAGAAAGTTCCCAAGAATTTCTGAAAGAGCCATTTTCTGAATGGGAAAAAGTTGCTGGCAGAGGTGTACACATAAGAAATAGACTTTCTCCCTCCAAGGAAGGGGGGAAATGTTGTACACAGGGAACCCTTTGCATACTTTCAGCTAAATGTGGGGCTAGAAACTCGAGAATGCCTAATGCTGATCTTACACTGTTTTCTAGTGTTATGATACTCAAATCATTATGCTACTGTCTATCACTTGTCAATACTGTTTAGGAGACATGCCTGAATTTCTGGTATTCTGTTGACAATTGCAAAAGTCCTTCTGTTAGTAGTGCTGGAATCAAGT